CAATGTCCCCCCAACCCCCCAAGCCCATGCAGAGAGGATTCTTGAAGCCCCAGCCCTGCGACACTGCAGACCTGTCAAATCTAATTCATAACACATGCCTAGCAGTTCTTAGGGGAGAGGAAGGATCTGATGCCCTGGCTCCCCACCATCCCCCTGTACAAAGGGACCATTTAATGACTGCACATTAGCAATGTGGACAATTAGCATTCACATGGAAGATAAATGGCAGCATAAATTAAATATCAGTAAGTGAAAGAGCAAAGATGCAAGATCTGAGCTCAAGGCTGTAAACAAACAAACAGGCAAAAAGGAACAAACAGCTCCTGCGACAGCTCAGCCATTTGGGAGAGTTACCTTCCGGCGTCTGGGACTTTCCCCAGGGGTGATCTTCACATTTGCATGGCTGTTGCCTGTACCTCACTGGCTCCTGGCTGGTTGTTAAGCAGATTCTTTCTGCTCAGGAACCTGAACCTCAGAGTGGTTTACACCACTGGTTCTAAACTTCTGCCTGTTTGGGGATCTGAGCGTCAGCAGCTTCCCTCAGCCACATGCATCACACAAGAGCTCTGGAGGAACACGAGCCCCAGCAGCTCCTGCTCTACCCTTTCCCATAGCGTAGAATGCACCTTTCTTTCCATGGGCCAAGGCTGGCCATTCCTAACCTTACCACAGCTTTCCTAGCTCCTCTTCTTGCTAACTTCTATCATTCTTAAGCACTAGAAATGTAAGGACTGAAACTGTCCTCGGCCTCTACCACAAGCTGAAGGGCAGGGGACACTACCCTTATTTGTATGGGCATCTGTGCAAGGCCACTATCAATATTAATTCAATACCGATTTGCAATACGCCTCCCAGAATTGCAACTATTAGTGACTACTGCAGCAAAGGCGGGGGGAACCCAACAAAAACACCAAAAAACCCCAACAGAGATGATGCAAATGCTAAGTAAACAAAAGCTATTGGCTGAACACCAACATTCTCTAGCCTGCCCAAGCAGTCACTCTTAGTGCATTGACAGCTCAAGTTTATCAACAGCTGGAGGAGTCAAAATGACTTTTGCTGTGAACCTACAAAACATGTGAATAACTAAAAGGTAGAGCATAAAAGTGACAGAAATGTAGGGACTGCCAAATGGGATCACACTAAACGGCCCTTCAAGCTCAGACAGTGGCTAGTAGCAGATGCTTTGGAGGAAGGAAACCCCCTCCCACACCTCCCTGGGGACAAGTATCAATTATCCTGCCTAGAAATAAAATGTTTTCCTACTTCCAGATTTCTCCTAGTTCTTCTTAATGTATTAGAAAGTGTTTGCCTGGATATTTTTCCTCACAGGCATTTCATTGCTTTGTCCACATTGTTCATTACTTTGAAGTAAAATGACTCAGTTCACATGGCAATCTGAAAGGACTTTCTAAAAGTGAACAAAGCTATCTACACAAATCCCAAGGTGAAAGCAAACATCTCATAGTATTGCACACTGGAAAACTGAGAAACAGGGGCTTAGAGACTTGCAAAACGCAGTCTCCTTGTCTCCCAGTTCCATGGCTAAGAAGCAGAGGAAGGACAGTCAAATAGGGTCATCTGGACTACTGAGAATTTCTTTCATCTCTGTACCAGAGTGTGGAATCTCAGCACATAACTCTTCTCTCCTCTCATGTTCCAGATCTCTTCCTCGCAGATCAGTACTGATGCTTTTTCATAGATTTTCCCAAACTGTAACTAAGAAGCAGCTTTTGGTAAAATTGAGGGTAAGGTGTTTGGAAAGGAGATGCAAGGACAAGGGGGACAGGTGTGAATTTCATACCTAAAAACCTGAGGCATGGATAAATGTCTCTTATTCAAAGGCAAAACAAAGGCACCCCCCTCAAACTACTGGATGTGTATTTCCTTGACATCCCTGCTAACAGTCACTGGGAGGCTGCTTGATGATGGGCAGGTTGGGCGTCTCTTCTCTTCCCCCCGCTCCTTGCCACCTCCTCCCCACAGGAGCAGTAATGGAAAAGTGACTTGCTGCAGAGATAATGCTGGGTTTGAAATGAATTTCTGACTAGCTAAGCCAGCACCCGTGTGAGCTGCGGCTGATTAGCTCCAAGCATCCAGGTCCCAATCACTCACAACGGAGCCAGACAATCACGCCAGCCTCTGCAAGGCAAAGACAGGGTGGAGGCAACATCCCTGAAAAGGATCTCAAAGGGAAAGGGAAAATACTACTCACGTTTGTGGTTTTCATTTCTGTGGACAGGTGAAGAGCGGGTCTCCTGCTCGCGGGCTTCATCACCCTCTTCGCTGGCGAGGTGGGTGTGAGCATAGTGGTAGCTCAGCCCAGGCCTGTTCTTGTAACGCTTGCCACAGACTGGGAGGAAAGGAGATACGAGGGAGGGGAAGAGAGAATGGAAACATCAGTGTGACCTGTAACAATGTCAGCATCCTCTCAAGTAACGCTCCCTTCTCCCCCGAGAGCAGCACCACACAATCCGCGCGCCTGCCTGAAACTCTTCCAGCCGACACTGGTGAAAGGTGACAGAAGGGCCACCCTGCAGCCACAGGTCCCCAAACAAGCTTTCTGCCCACCGTGCTGCCAGCAGACCTTCCTAAAGGCCCAGGCAAATGCATATTCAGTCTCCGCAGCTCATACAGCCCTAATCCTCTCTGCTAAGATTACTAAACGTGATTGCACACAAAACGAAATGAAATGCCAGTTCCCATGTTGGTGCTGCACCATGCACAGCAATAGGAACTGGACTGAGAAGAAAGGACACTATTTTCTTCATTACGAATCTCTGAGTAAAGGAAACGGTATTTTTATTTTTTAAAATAAATGTTTTCTGTAAAAGGGTAATAAATAGCTTTATTCACAGATTCCTAGTCAAGGCAAGGAGATGGAAATCATCCACAGTTTCTTGCTAGAACAACATGTAGTAGTGATACTTATTTGCCCAGGTAAACTTCATATTCAGCATCCCAATAAATAATGCAATGTGTGACTGAGAATTCTCCTTCTGAACTTCTGTTTATTTTAGGACTAAGTCAACAGATATTAAGAACAGGATCAAATAATTCAGGGCGATGAAAGGTCTACATTTTCACAGGGAGCTCACCACAAGGGCAAGCTTCATAAGATTCATTACATACAAATTCAGCTTCTATAAAGTTTTTAATTCATGTTAATGTCTCTAAAAGTTATCTCTTCATCTTCAAAGCAGTCTCTGAACGTCCTCTTTTATACAGCTATTCTGTCTAGCAAATACAATTATTGTCATTTTAAAAGATCAGGAAACAAAGGCAAAGAAGCTTAGTGCCCTTCCTGTGAATTTTTACTCCCATCCACATTTTCAGTCACTTTATTAGCTTCATTAACCTCAAGGATTTCACACAGGAATAAATGTCATGCCCAGTAGTCCGTCTTGCATAGCTTGCTTAGGAAGGCAAAGGAAGTGGTGCCAGAAGAGAGAGCAGAACCCAGCAGTCTTTAGTTCTCTGTCTTGTTTTTAGACCCTTTGAAAAAATCTCCAGGGGGAAAGTCACCATCCACTCCTAAAATCTTCACTCAGCCCCATTACTAAAAATGCATCCTACAATGTATATAGATATTTACTTCCCATTCCCCAGACACCCAAGTCTGGGAATGTCATAACGTTCCATAAATTACAAAAAGATATAAAAAGACCCACCCCAATTATTCATTTACATGTAAGTAAAACTTCCATTATGACACCTTTCTGCTACTACTCACAAAAAGCCAACTGATGATCCACATTCTGGAAGAGATGATAGAAAATTGTAAATCAAAGCCTATAATGAGAACATATTTCATTCTCCATCTCTTCTGGCTGATTTGCAGACTCCCTCAAGGAAAATACTTTGCCTTATAAGAAACATGTAAAACAACCTCATGATATGAATGAGTGAACTGGAATATCAGATACTTTTATTCCAGTTTTCTGCATTCTGCAAGGTGATGATCACACAGTCATCATAACAGGACGAAAGCTTTTTACAAATGTAATGTGTCCTTAGCCACAGTTTTCTTAAGTCTTTGAATGCTCTTGATTTAGAATTGAGAACTCATGCAGGAGGGAGGGGGGAAAGTTGGGGAGAAATAAAATGCCCAGATACATATGCACATCCATTCTTTGAAGCATCTGCTCTCATCTCATATGTGAGCCTGTCCCAGCAAGTGGGAAATCCTACGGGGTGTGTCCACCCATAGGTGAGGCTTCCAAAGTCGCTGTAAGCAGGTCCAGCCTTATATACCAGAGATCGGCAAGCCAGAATAGCTGGCACCTTTGTTTTGAGCAGAAAATTTCTGGTTTCATTCTCCTGTTGGATTCCACCCAAAGCCTGGCCGGGGCTCGGGGCGGGGGGGAGACCAAGGGAGTTTCTAACAAGGCCAAATACGTGAGTTCTCAGCCTTGAACAAGGCTAAACAAGGGAAGTTGGATACATTCTCAGCATTTTGTCCTCACTACTGATTATATTCTAGGCTGCCTCTTTCACTAGCGAGTTTACGTACTTTGTTAACGATTCCAGACTAAGTTAGCAGCTTCAGCTTGGGGCCTGTTGTTCAGGCTGAAGTACTTCAATGCTTTAGCACTTTTTACATCAGCATGAGTGCGTTGTTATAACTTAGTACAATACCTACTAGCACAATGGTTTTGAGTTCTAAAATATACAGGATTCATCTATAGGTCAACTCTGACTTGGGCCAGTTGTCCAATCCTTAGCACTTCAAAACCTAATTCCATTGCCAGACATTTTGAAAAACCAGACTGCGGTTAGATGCATGCTCTCCACTTCTTCTAGTACCAGCCATGTATTCTTCTAATGGATTCTGGAGAGGGAAATTACTCCTCTGCAGTCCTACAGAGCAAGTGGACAGACAAGCAGTGGAACAGAGACGAGCATGCTGACAGAGAGTCAAACAACGAGATAGCCACAGTCCTGTAAGATTTTGTCTCCACTTTTTGAATAGTGGAAAAAGCGTAACACAGAAGTAATCATCAAAACAGAGAGCGCTACGAAATGTTCACTGTTTTAATTATTTCAGAAAGATAACCCCCTCTAATTACACAATGGTAAGGCATTTCTTAGAATGGAGAGAGATTTACATTTCTAGCAGATTATTGGAGTATCAGCCTAAGTATCTCACTCTATCCCTCTTACTTGTGTGCATTTGAAGATGAAAGTTAAAAAATAATTCTTCTGCTATGAATTACTGATACTGCTCAAAAACTTCTGTCTACTTATTTTCAGAGCACTTCCAGACGATCAGTGCTGTACTGACAAAGGAGGAGGCACTTGGAGTTAATAGCTGTGTGATACATACTACCCAACGCTATCTTGCTCTTACATAGCTTGATCCTGTGTTAATGATAACCTACCTGCAAAATCAGATAAGCTCTAAAACGCAGTCCCATTTGCCTATTAGAAGGAGTCTTAAATATAAAAACAAAATTCTTTCTAGAAATTCTACCAGACTTCGTTTCGTTCAGGTCTACCTGAAAACATACCCACGATTCTAGCTCTACCGTTGTTATCTTACAAGAGGACCATGTTCTTGAATATAGGTCTCATGCATCTCTCTCTGTCCATGCACAAAAGGAAACTCGCGTTCCCAGCAGAAAGTCCCAAGGCTGTGGCCTTGCCTCCATTCCCTACAGGATCCTGCAGGGATTTTAGCTGCAGAGTTTAGGATGGCATAGGAAATCAGACAGGTCTGCAGACTCACCCGTCTCCAGCAAAAAAAAGTATCAGCTCACCAGGAAAAAACAGTAAGCATCAATATAAGCTGAGGCAGTACTAATTCTGCAGCTGAGCTCTTCCCACTGCCAAAACTCTTTCAGATGGCCTTCAAGGGTGTCAGCAAGCTCAGACATGCCTAGCTAAAAAGGAATTTAAAGGACTTTTTAACCAGAGCTGAGGCAAAAGTGTTCTGTTTACGCAGTCCCAGCAAATCCTTTGTAGGACTAAAGATTTTCAGCTTCCAGCAGCTTTTTTTCTTGATGTCAAGACTTTTCCACCTTTGAAATCCATGTTCTGCCATGGAAGAAGTCCGAACCAATGCCATAAGTTGAAACTGCAGAGATTTCCTATTCCCCAAGCAAATTAAACTTTTGCAGGGGAAAAAGGGTATAATGATATTAGTCAGGCAAAAGAAGCATTGGCTTCCGTGAGACTTTGCTAGAATAAAAGCTAAGTCATGGTTTCTGCAACAGACTGAATCCTCCTGAATTCACCCTAATCTCTTATTTTCCAGATAGAGCACATTTTATTAATCTACCATATCACGGTGCTAAGAAGTAGTTTCTATAAAAGGGTGATCATTAATAAACACTTAGCTCTTATATAACTCTTCCCACTGCAAGACTGGCTTTTCAAACATTAATTAATCTTCCTCCATATTCCTGAGTGGGAAATACTATTCTTATTTCACTTCTGAAAAAAAAAGAACCACAGAAGGGTTAAGTGACTTGCCCACACAGTGATTCTTTGTCATTACCAGGGCTGCAATTCATGAGTTCCAGCATCCAGACCAGTGCTTACACCACATCTTTCTCATTCTCCTAGCTGACAAACGCATAATGAGAACTGGTTCTCCCAGTCTGAAATGCATGCTACTGATTAGCTGTTAACGCTATGCAGCTCACACATAGCAAGTGAGAGTATGCCTTTCATAAACTTTGCCGGGTGGCCTTGCCTTTTTTTCAGCAGCTTTAACTTTTTTTATCTTTAATTTTCCTTGCTGGATAGGCTCATCATCCTTGCATGTGGTAGATTTCATCCTGAATCTCAACACTGGGAAGTTGACTTGATCTTTAATTACGTAGCCAAGACCAATGAAAGCAGCGGGAGTTTGTAGAACGTAACCCACTCCAATTCCTCCTGCATTCAAAGGATATATTTTCGCTATAACCTGATGTGAATGCCATCTTAGGAACAAGCTGGTTAAGTAAGTAGTAGTACTGTAGTGCAGATGAAACACCATAAATGGGGAAGAGGGAGAGACTTTATTAGGCCACCAGACACTCTGCTGTGATGAACCTTACTTTCCTTCAAGACTGAAATGAAGACGTTACACAACTGTGTTATGGGGGAAAAAACATCATTTGCAGACTGTTTAATCACAAGCATTGAGTGTTTCATAAAAGAGAGCTCTGTTCTAAGTTCTGGCCTGTAACAGCCTGCAACTCTTTGGATAAGCAAATTCTCACTCTGTTTACATTTTTCAATGAGTAAAATTAATATAAAATACTTCCCCTGCTTTAAAAGCGGACTTGAAATCTATGACTTAAAAGACTTCCTCATCAAATATTTAATGGCTGTGTTGCTGTCATTTTGAAATTGTTACACATT